GGAGGTCCTCTTATGGAAGACTCAGTCTTATTGCTTGTCCAAAGGAAGTTGAGCAATGGCTGAACTCTCTCATCAATCTTGCTAGAAGTTTTTGCTTTGATATCAGCTTGAGCACCTATTTCATCCAATGGGACTTCCTGTGAATTCACGGACCTCTTTCCCAAGTGTCTCTTGCAACCATGGGAATGCTGTTGACAGGCCATTGACTTTGTCTCAGGTGTTGTCATTCCTGGGCTCTCTCGGTTTAGTTTTGACCGACTCTCTTCTGGGTTAAAACTCATATTCTTCCCCAGGCCAGCTAGCTGTGAGGGAGGGGTTCCTTCTGGGTGTAAAATATCCCCTTCCCCAGATGAATTTACCTGGGGAATCCTTAAAATTGACCCGCTTTGGGTAACATTTTGCTCCACAAATACATTCAAGGCTCCATAGGAATTTGTGACACTGGCCTTACTGGGGGCAGCTTTGAAACTGGGCAAAGATTCTTTTCCTGAGAGATGCTTGTCTTGGTTTGTTTCTTGAAAATCTGGGTGAAGCAAGCTATCTTTTTCAGTAGAAGAGAGATTTATAGAGAATTTATTATTGTGATTTTCAATATCATTAACATGGAGGGATCTGTCGGTAACATCAGTCCATTTGTCTGAACCCATCGCCTCCTCTCTCTTTGGAAACAAGGGGTTTTGTCCGTTCAAAAGATTTGGCAATCCAACAGTTGGATTTATCTTCAGTTCCATAACCTTCTCCCTCTCATAATCATGGGGACTCTTCCTCAGAGGTTTTGCATTGATTCCTTCATGAATATCATTGTTAACAAGGAAAAGAAGGTCCCTTACAGATGTAGAGTTTCCAGCACCATCGGTTGGCCTGTGAGTTCCTGCACCAAGAGCTTTTCCATCGAGATTGGCTGAACTTGCTAGCAAGAGGTTATCACGGTGTGATACTTCCTGTGCAAGCGGCGAATTTTCTGCAGGAGAGTGTTCTTCAAAACTCTGCTTCTGTAGAGGTGATTGTTCTTCTATGGGGAAAGCATCCCTGGGCAAGATGTCAAACAAGGGTTCATATGGGGATAAGGGTTCTCCGGGAGAGATGAGAGGACCAGTGGAATTCTTGGGGTGGTTTTCTTTGAGAACATGGTTAGATTGCTCAAGGCACTTCAGCCTTCCATCTTCTGGATGTGAGGTAGCATTTGGGCATAGTTGGAGATGTCTACTTGTCTTGGAGAAACCTCTTGGCTGTGGGATATTGTCTTCATCGATATAATCTGATGGAATGCCTTCATCATAGTAGTCTTCATTCTTCTGGTCAACGTACTCTTCTTGGCGACATACAAAAATACTCAACTTAGCTTTCATTCCTTGTTTTCGAAAATTAGGATTCAAGCATCCCAGCATCCACTTGCCTGTCTCAGGGAAAAGGAGAAAAAAAACCAAGAAATAAAATGAGAGGAAGATTCAAATAACAGACACATTATATCAGAGATCTGGGACTTCAGAGTTAAGATGACCTGGAAACTGTGAAAAAACCTTGAGTTTGTTTGGAGGTTCTAGCAGGGGAGCGCAGCTATCGTAGACCCTTGACCGAAGATCGGTACACTCTTTCTATCTGGGATGGTCATCCTCTTCCACCGAGTGTGCAGCTTTGGGAGGGATGCACATGGAGCGGTGAGGGAGGAAGGGGACACACACCTAGCCAGCAAGATCAGCCGAATCAACCCTGGCGATCAATGGGGTGACAGATGTCGCAGCCAGATCGCCCTCACATCCTGAAGAAACCTTTAAAGGTTATTAGCAAATTGTTGCAACTGGAGAAAAGGTTTAAGTTGGGGGCTGTGACCTTTGGCATGCCGGTCAAAAACCAAGAATGGCCTTCAGGCCTTCAGCCCTCAAAAAGGAGCTGTTTTGACCCAGCCTTCACAAGCAATGAGAAGAACGGTTGCAGGACCTGGGTATGTCTAGTTTAATGAAAAGAAGGACTAGGGGAGACATGATAGAAGTGTTCCAATATCTCAGGGGCTGCCACAAAGAAGAGGGAGTCAAGCTATTTTCCAAGGCACCTGAGGGTAGAACAAGAAGCAATGGGTGGAAACTAATCAAGGAGAGAAATTAGGAGAAATTTCCTGACAGTTACAACAATTAATCAGTGGAACAGAAGTTGCCTCCAGATGTTGTGAATGCCCCAACACTGGAATTCTTTAAGAAGATTTTGGATAGACATCTG